CTCCATTTTGAAACAAAATGGTAGACGACGATGTCGAGTTCCTTGGCTCATCCTGAGATAACATATGACTTTTGTACCAAATGTTTAATTTAAAATGAAAAGTTTAATTCTAGTCCGTGATACAGACCCCTTTTTGTCAAATTATTAACATACTTACCTGAAACTTCTTGCACGAATAGCTTCATCTCATCGTCACCTACAAATATTTTGTTTACGAAAACCCTTGGAATTAGGGCGTTTTCAATCTGGAGGTCGACAAACTTTGTCTATTTAATTAGGTACTAAAAACTCCTAAATATTCCTTTCCTTTCCACTTCGATCGTTAAATAATTTGTTTACGAAATCGAGAAACAAGGTGGCCTACAAAAATATTGGGCCTATACAACCTCGTTATTTTTGTATTTTGGGTGTGTAGGTCACGTCAAACAGTACAATATTTTTGAAGCTTATCTTTTTTTCACGTTTTTGTGATCAAATTATCTCTCGATCCAAGTGGAAAGCTAATGGGTATTTACGAGTTTTTAGTACCTAATTAAATAGACAAAATTTGCCGACCTCCAGATTGAAAACGTCCCTAATTCTAAGTGTTTTCGTAAATAAAATATTTGTAGGTTACGATGAGATGAAGCTATTCACGAAGTTTCAAGTAGATGTTAATAATTTGATAAAAAGGGGTCTCTACCACGGACTAATATTGATAAATGTTCAGTAAGCAGGTCTTCTCTTACACACGTCAGTGTCCTTAGATCGCTACGGTTATCTCGTAGAGGATTTTTCTTCCAAATCTTTCAATACTTCTTTTTAGGTTGCTGCTTAGTGTCCATGTCTTAAAACCATATAGTAGAACTGGCTTTATGAATGAATGAATGAAATGAAAATTCTGTATTTTGTAATTATTATATACAATTACAGGGTCTGGCTCCATTAAATACATTATTACATAAAGAAGAATCAAAATAAAGTACTATACAAATATAGAAATAAATCGGAGAAATATTCTTTTTTCATAAATAAGATAAACTAGATATATAGAGTATGAAATGAAATTGAAATGAAAAAAATGTTTTATTATTCTGGGACTGTTGTCCCTTAAGAACAAAATATGAATACAGATTATATGTCTGTGTGGCTACAATTAAATTGTATATTTACAATAAAAGTTGACTTACGATAAAAATACAAAAAGGGAAAGAAAAGAACAAGTAAATTGTACATATGTATGAGAAACTAAAATAACCTTAATAAATTGAGGTAGTCTCTGGTGGTGCTCAGATATTTCTCTTAGATATATTTCACAATCATTCGGATTGAGAAAGGAGTAGGTGCTTAAAGAGGAGTGGTTTAAACGAGGAAACTGATTGAGCGTGTCGAATATCAGCTGGGATGGAATTCCAGAGGGAGGCGGCTTGTATTACAAAGGATTTGTCAAACGCAGCAGTTCGGTGAGGAGGAGGATAGAGGTCGGAAGTACGAGATCTGGTGGGACGGGATTGGATGGAATATTTGAATTGTAAGCTGTGAAAAATATAGGAGGGTCGATGGGTTCTAATGATTTGGTACAGAAAGGTGGCTAGGAAGTACTGACGGCGATAGGATGGGTAGAGCCACCTCAACTCAGTGTAATACTGGGTAATATGCGTATCCCTTGGTTATAGTATGATGTAAAAAAAACAAAAAACAAAAAAAAAAAAACAGAAAAAGAAAAATAACTGTATAACAATATAAATAAAAAGTATTGACTTTGAAGATATATATACATTAAAGAAATTTTAAAAATAGCAGTAATATATTCCTACTATACAATGTAGCAGATTGCAACAGTGCATATACTCACTTATTAGTCGAAGATAACAATGTCTTGTGGTAAACATAAATATTGCTGGTATATAATCATTCATAACGAATGATCTTATTTTAGAGCTCCCTACTGTAAAATAAAATATATCATTTAACTTTAGGTTTTCTATCGTTAACATTGAATTGAATGTTTGAGCATTGAATTGCTGTCTTCTGTAATATATTTCTCTATGACATCGCTCCATAGTAAACTAGACAAAACTTACTTTAAACAAATGTAGAGTTGGTGAGTGTCAAAACTATTTAAAGAAGACTATTGGGTAGGCAAAGACAGCAAAGTTCCGTTTAAAAAAATATCATAAATTATTTCTGATTTTTTTTTGTTATCACTCTTTAACTGTATTAAATTTACCCCACTTAAAAAAAAAAATCATTGTTTAATAACCTTTTAGTTCTTATTAATTAAATTGAGGTTTATGCAATGTAGCAGATTGCAACAGTACATATGCTTACCTCTTAGTCGAAGATAACAATGTCTTGTGGTAAACATAAACATAGACATAAAAATATTGCTGGCATATAATCATTCATAACGAATGATCTTATTTTAGAGCTCCCAACTGTAAAATAAAACATATCATTTAACTTTGCGAGGTTTTCTATCTTTAATAAATTACCGAGCATTGAATTGTTGTCTTCTGTAATATGTTTCTCTATGTAATATTTCCTCAAGTCATTCTATTAAAAAATGATATAAATTTTCTGCCTTTTGGAGGTTGCATATAGTACAGTTTTCTTCTCCTTCTAGTGTATAGGCCGTTCCATTAAGATAAAATGAAGGTTTCGTTAAATTGGCTACCCTAAGTTGGCTGACGGTTCTATGTTTCGTTATATTAGTTCTTATGTTTCAATATCGTTCTCCGTGGCGTAGACTACTCATACTGATACTCATATTCAAACTCGTACTCAACTGGCTTTATTACACTGTACACCCTTAATTTTGAGATTTCTTAAAATATTTTTTTTTCGGGATTTCAATTTCTTTGAAAGGGAAAAGAAAGCTTTGTTTGTGCTTGTTATCAGCTGTTCTATTTCCAACCGTTGCTCATTCATTGAGGTAATTATTGAGCCGAGGTATTTTAATTTATCAACTCTCTAAAACGATCCCTTCTACGCAGATTATTGGGGTAGGATTTTCGGCTTGTTATCGTATATTTTGTTTTATCTTCACTTATTTGTTGGCCGATTTGCTCCGCTTGTCTTATGGGAGTCTCGACAACTTTCTCAATATCTTCTTATTGCTTCCAAGGGCTGCTATATCCTCAGCATATTTTTAGATTGTATGATTCATAAATAAATAATAATTCATAATTATTAAAATGAGTTGGTCACTTACTAAAATGATTCCATAAATCAAAAATATGAGAAAAGTGATAACAAAATATATGCCTAAAATATATATATATATATATATATATATATATATATATATATATATTACTATTTTTCTTATATTTGAAATATCTTACTGAAAAATTTACATTATAATATGTAGATAATATTGGATTCTAAAGTAAATTTATTATGATTAAATATTCAACGAATAATTATCATGTATTTTGTTAAGAATTCTCATTATTACGGAATTTTTATGAATTTTTTAAGTTAGTACTGAATCGAATAGAAGGTCAAATGACATTTAAATTTAATAAATTCAAAATTTCATCTATTCGCCTTGTGAACACCCGCATTATAATAACAAATGGCGATATTAGTATTTGCGTTGTAGAAAGGGATAGTCGGTATCTACGAATGTTTTACGGAAACATGCAGAAAATGAAAATTATTAAAATATGTTCAATCTCAAAGAAGCAGAGTAGGCCAGTGAGTAAGACAATGAGTTAATATTCTCCTGTGTTCGAGTTTTTCATGTGATTTATTAATTTATTCTGTTGCATTAGTCGTGGATCGACTCAGGTGTCTGACGATCCTCCTGCACATCATCTTGCATAACCGTTGACTGTTAATTTTAAATTTTCTTCATTTTTTTAATATCGTATAAAATAATATGAAAATAGTTTACCTTTTTTTTCCGTTACGTAAATAAATGACTGAGATATGAAAGTGTAAAATATCTCATAGTTTACAGTGAAAGGGTCGATGATAATGTTGAGCTTAGAGGATCACACGAGATGACTTTAGTACCAAATCTCAAATAAATCGGTACAGAGGACAAGAATATATATATATATATATTTTCTTTTATAATTTTATCATTATCAAAGATAATATCAAAATAAACACAAAATGAAAATACAAAACGTTAGCTAGTCAAGTGTATCCACTTCCAAATGATATTCAGAAAATATCATTTTCATAAATCCATAAACTTTTTATTATATGTACAAGACATATATTGTTAATTTACTGAACTTTCAAGGATTTTAAATTCTCTCTTCTATAACGACCTTTCATAAAATTTTACTATAAATATGCCTTTTTTATTTTTTAAATTATAATCAACCATTGAATTCCTCTCGTATCCAATCCTTACAATCCAAAATCCTCAACGCTCTTTACTTTGTCACAAATAAAATCATCCATAAAGATCTTAATGTTCCTTATATTTCCGATTTGGCCCAATCCATATACCTATCCTTCCGTAACAAACTCCAGAACCATCCGAATCCTCTCGTATGAAACATTGCTTCCGCCTCGATCCCTGATAACCCTCAGAGGCGTCTGAAAAGAAGGTGGTCTCATGATCTTGTTGTGTAAATTTATTATTTGAGTGTTATCAATGGGTAGTTTCTCAACAAGCGATTTCATGTTATATTTCTGAGTGCATATTTACTAGTTGTATTTTTTTTATAATACAGTTGTAAATATCAATGAATAAAAAAAATAAATTATATTAAAAAATTATTTTTCCCGTTATAGTAGTCAATGGATATCCTTTTTTAGGAATGTTGGCAGAAGGGGGAGGGGAGGAGATGTCTCTATCTAACTAATACATCTATTTCTATATGAAAATCATTACTTTATACCTAATAGTTTCTTAACAGTATTTTTTATGTCCTTCTATTTCAGAATTTGTTATTAAAAAATATAATAATATGTTATGTTTTTTAAACGATATTAATTAAATGACATACACTTATTTCATTAGAAATAATTTGCTATCTAACTTGTTATAATTACAGGGAGCCCCAAGGCCTACAAAATACCACGTTTTGATGGATGAGTCTCATCTTTCCGAAGACGATATTCAAGAAATTACATTTTACCTTTGCCATTTAAGCTGCAGGTGAATTATTAACATTATTTAGTTTGCTATTTTCCTGCTACTATATTATTTTTGCTTCCTCACTATTGAAAATAGGATAGCAAAAAAAAAAAAAAAAAGTTTGTGCTCAAAATACAAAATTTCGTTTCGCATTTAACTATTTGTAGATTAGCGGACAAATTTGGTTCTGAGTCTGTCTGTACTATTTTTTTATTACATTTTTACTTTCACTTTCCTATATATGCAATATATAGTAAGGGTAAGTATTGCGATCGTGAAAATTTTCGAGACTTAGTTTTCAACGGAAATACATGTTTAGAGGTCTCTTGAGTCCAAATAACCATGTCCCACAAACTTATCTTAGTGTGTGTACGTATTTTATCAGTCTAGCTCAAAGTCATATGAAAGCGAAATTGCATATTTAAGGTTTATATATACCTCAACTAGGACTCCACCTGGACAAACGTTTAACTTGGAATCCTCATACCACACTGAAACGACAAGAAACCGCTCGACCTTTCAGCACTTACTAGACAAACGCTTTAACCTTTCAAATAATTACAAAAGACTCATTTTCATGACCATAATAAGACTTATTTGGACTTACGGAGTTGAGCTTTGGGGCCCGACTAAACCATCGAATTCCTCTCGTATCCAATCCCTACAATCCAAAATCCTTCGTAAAACCTTAATGATCCTTACTTTGTAACAAATAAAATAATCCACAATGACCTGAATGTTCCATGTGTTTCCGATTTGGCCCAATCCAGATACCTATCCTTCTATAATAAACTTCAGAACCATCCGAGCCCTCTCGTTTCTAATGTTGCTTCCTCCTCGATCCCTGATAACCATCCTAGGCGTCTGAAAAGCAGATGGTCTCGTGATCTCCTAATTTAGAAACTTAGAGTGCTATCAATGGTTAGATTCTCTACAAGCCTTGTCATGTCATGGATTTATCTATATTACATTTGCTGAATGTATTTTGAATGTACAGTTGTAAATTTCATAAATAATATATATATATATATATTATATATAATATATAAATAATATATATATATATATATATATGTATATACATCAGGTGTTACAACAAAATAATCATCAAAATCGGCAAACCGGAAGTGGTACTTTATATAATCGATTTAACACATTTTTACGATTTTCTCAAAAACGGCTCTAACGATTTTTATTAAACTCAGTATATCAGTGCCTTATTAAGCAGTTTTTAAAATAATGTAGTTTTTACTCTAATTGATGTTCTCTTTCAGAGCTTAAATGGTTAATTTTCAATGTTGGCTTGAAGTACCTTTATTTTTTTTTATTTGAAATAATTAACCATTTCAGATTAATCTTCGATATAAAAAATAGTTAAATATAAAATATGAAAGAATTTTATAATTAACTAAAGAATAAATAAGGTATCGTATCGGATAATAGTTGTAATAGAGGAATCAAAGGAATAGAAGCTTGTCCGAGCTCTCCCGAAAGATTACAACAGGCATTCCATACATAAATTGAGCTTCATATAATATGGACTCCGACATAATTATGTTCAAATACATTTGCGGTTTTCATAAGTGCTGTCGTTGGTTGGTTCGCATGGTTGCTGTCGCAGTATTCTATACAATTTAATATTTAATTGTATAGAATACTGCGATATAACAGTTAAAATTTGTATATGTATATATATATATATATATATATATATATATATATATATATATATATATATATATATATATACATATATATATATATATATATATAAATATATATAAATAAAAGGGTAATTTAAACAAATAAAAACACCCACAATGATTCGTAAATAAATATAGCGTTAATAATTTTTACTTTCACTTTCCCTTTGTCTGAAAATTTTTTATGCTAAGAAGAGGGTGGTAAGTGAAAGTTGTGTGATGCGCCCATCAGATTTTTATTACATTTTTTATATTACGCTGCCTATTAGGAAATACGGGTAATTGCAGCAGTGTTATTCATGTTAAATGAAAATTCGATGCTGTAAGTAAGGTGTTCAAAATTAAATCTTTGCGTTCTGGTCATTATCCTCTTCTACTCCTCCTCTATCCTTCCCAAGAAGTGGACAGGAATATACCATATGAATATAGTCGTGTCTCTTTAAAAATAATCAGTATTGATATCTTTCAGTCAACCTTCAGCGTTATTTTTCTCCCTTTTTTTTTTTTTTCTTTTCCAGAACAAACACTTGATTACAAATATGGTAATTTTGCATTCAACACATCTAATCGCCTGTTATGAACTGATTATCCATACTTTGTTTTATTGTTTCAAATTATGCAAATTATTAATTTCTGGCCAATGAATCGCAATGCAAATGCCACATTATCTTTAACACTTATATCTCTTATAAAGATATTGTATACATTTTCAATGTATTATTTTGTAATTATTTATTTTAAATTAGGATATAAGCAATAATATTTTACATGTTGAAACTACTCTTTTTATAATTGTTATAAATAATGTCATAACAGTAAAAAATGAAGGAAAAATACTAAGCAATAAGTGCCTTTATTTATTTATTGATTAATATTACATTCTTCTACTAGAGCAATCGTTACAGTGAGGAAATAATTTATTTACATTATATTTATATTTATAAGTTACTCATATTTCTGACATACAATAAATTTGTCATTTACTATTATATTCAGCAAATACTATATCAATTAGAACTAAACAGAAAAAAATAGTAAAATCAAAATAAGATAACACAGCAAGGCGTTCACATGTTTCATTTTGGTACACCAAGTTGAAGTGGCTTTATCCTACTTCTCGAAGACAATTCCTCCTTGGTGTTTTCCTTTTCCAAGTTCTCAGAACAAAACCCCCCCCCCTTCCTCCTGGAACTCCTAACTCTACGTTCTTCTATCCACTCTCTTAATACCAGGTCTCAACCTATTGATTTTTATATCCCCTCCCATAAAACTACTTCCTTCAGCAAATCCTTCGTCATTCGTGCTACCTCCTTTTGGCACTCACTTCCTACCTCCTCAATCTTCGTCCACGAATTCCTTCAAACAACTCCTGCTCCACCACCTATTTCACATTCAAACTTCCACTGACATGTAAAATTACTTGCGTCTGTACACTGTTGCAATAACAATCAGCAGTTAATTAGTTTTTATTTTTATTATCTAAGCCAGACTATGACCCATAACTCTCTTATTATTCTTAAGGGACTGTAGTCACAGAATAAAATTATTTTTTCATTTCAAGTAACTTAATGCAGTAATTCTATTTGCCACCGCCTCAGCAGTCTTCTGGGCGGATTATATGGATTTGTGGCAGTAGATAGAGCTTGAGTAAGTTGATTGGAATTTAGAATCAGTCTGTCATGAAAATTATTAAGCGGTCTGTGGCAGTTGTTGTGATAAAAGGAATGTCAAGATCAGTAACGTAAGTTTAGAAACATAAAATGGCGCGTCTACAATTTTCCGAAGAATTTTTGACCTGAATCGAGGGTGCTCAGAAGAGGTTTTTATTGCTCCAACAACATTTTTAAGGGGGGCAAATTGTGACGGGGTTTTGAATTTTTAAGGGGGCATATTTCAACGGGGTCATGGATTTTGGGAATGAAAAGTTTCAAAATAAGATGCAAGGAGAAAACTTGGATCAGACCACAGCAAGTGTAATTGTGTATGATCTACGATTTTTCTAGTTCTACATTTCTTTCCTCAGTTTTTCAGAAAAGATGAGCAATAAAATATCTTGGATGAGTGGGGGAGGGAATAGGTTGTATTCTATCTAATCCATCTCCTAAACAAAGCGTTTGCGGACATTCCTTCAGAGGAAATTTTGTTCTTGTTTTGAGGTCTTTAGTCCATTTTTGCAGTTTGACCACTTAATCCTGAATATTAATTTGCTTTGTTAACATATTTTCAAATATACCCAAAAGAAAAAAAAAATATAAACATAATTATAAATTTCTTTTTATATATAGCATTATTATATTGTTCGTTTTACAATAATTAATTTAATTATCACTCATACTTTTCAAACATAATGAAAATTCCCGAGACCTTTTTTGTGGGGGTTCATAACCTCCTCTGGAAACATACTTGTATCTTTTGCCAGATGTTTTTTTTCGAATATTATGCAATGGGTTCACCTCTAAATTATCTATGCATTTTCGTTTGGAATTTGTAAACCTAAGTTTTTAAAAACAAAGAAAATAACATTGAAACAAATACCTAATTATTTTAAATATATATTCTTATCGCACGTACGAGTTTTTTAAAAGTCACGCCTGCCTCGATAAGTTGTCTTATTCCTCACCGCTTAACACAATATGGCCAAGCTAATGTTTTTTTTAATGATGCTACTTCCACGACAACTTGCATTTTACATGTTTTATACAATCATCTTACCTCTTTTAAAATTTCAAGGTTATGTATGATTAAATATTATTCTCTGTTTTCCTTATTCATATTCGCTTGACATATGTTCATAACTTTGGTTGCTAAATTTTCAAGGTGTAGTAGCATGTAAATTTTGTCATGATATGACTCTAGTTTAAAAGAGGTTCTTATGTCGGTCAAACGGAGGAAGTAAAAAAGAACGAAAATGAAGCGGGTAGAGAGTTCTGTGCTTACCACACTATTAACCAGGAACAGTTTAAGGCCAACAACTAGATAATTTTACCAGAACCCCACAAGCTAGGGCTATTGTACGACTAAAATGTAGACCGTTCATGGACCAAACAATTTATGCTTGTTAACATACCATTTTACATAAATTATTTTTTTTTTTTATTTCTTTATGACATTTACAACTGTATTACATAAATACATCATCAATTTGGACATAATTGATATAATGACATGAATACACTTGCTGAGTAACTACCCAATGGTAGCACTCTAATGATATGACTACATTAGGAGATCACGGGGCCATCTTCTTTTCAGACGCTTCGGAGGCTTATCAGGAATTGAAGAGGAAGCAAGGTTAGAAACGAGAGGGTTGGGATGATTCTGAAGTTTATTATGGAAGGATAGGTACCTGGATTGGGCCAGATCTGAAACATAAGGAACATTAAGATCTTTATGGATAATTTTATTAGTGAAAAAGTAAGGAGCATTGAGGATTTTACGAAGGATTTTGGATTGTAAGGATTGGATGCGAGAGGAATTCGATGGTTTAGTGGAGCCCCATAGCTCAGCTCCGTAAGTCCAAATAGGTCTTATTATAGTCAAGTATATGAGTCTTTTGTAATTAATGGGAAGTTTAGAGCGTTTGTCTAGTAAGTGCTGAAGTAATCGGAAACGTCGAGCGGTTTCTTGTCGTTTCAGTCTAGTATGAGGATTCCAAGTTAGTCGTTTGTCCAGGTGGAGTCCTAGGTATCGGATTTGCTCAACAGGGATAAGTGGAGTATTGTTAAAGGAAACTGTAGGACAGGAAGTCGTTACATAAATTTAAATTTTTAAATTGAATTTGATGAAATTAATATTATAGTGAGGCCGTGATTAGTTGTCAGCCCGAGCGCGAACTCATGCGGCACAAAGTTGAAACTCTCAATTTGTTTTCCTCTGATTCTCCGATATTAGTTACGTAATATTAACAAATATATATTTTATATACACATATAAGATGACATAGTTGTCTTCTAATGTATGTATAAATTTATAAATATAGTGAAAATATTTAAATTTATAAACATCAGAGATTTAAAGAAAAGCAAGATTGTGTCGCATGACCATTTCCTCTGATTTCTTAACAAATCGAACTAATAATTTTTCAAATATAAGCGCATGGAGGAAAGAAAATACTCGTGTCCACCCTTAAACGATAAAAGAGAATGGGTTTTTTCCCTCTCCTCTTTCTTGCCTTTTATGCCATGTGGAGGTTTCCGGAGCCAGGGGTGAGGGCGGAGATTAATGTCACAGTTAAAAGCCCCTCTTAGCAACGAATTCCATATATTATCTAAAATGAAGCGGGTAGAACTCTGTGCTTACCACAGTATCAACCAGGAATAGTTTAAGGTCAACAACTAGATAATTTTACCAGAACCACAGTCTAGGGCTACTGTACAACTAAAATGTAGACCGTCCATGGACCAAACAATTTATGCCTATTAACATATCATTTTACATAAATTTAAATTTTAAAATTTAATTTGATGAAATTAATATTATAGTAAGGCCGTGATTAGTTGTCAGCCCGAGCGCGAACTCATGCGGCACAAAGTTGAAACTCTCGATTTGTTTTTCTCTAATTCTCCGATATTAGTTATGTAATATTTACAAATATATACACATGACTATATATGAATGAATATATATAAGATGACAGCGTAGTCTTCTAACGTACACGTACATTTATAAATATTGTGAAAAGGTGTAAATTTATAAATATCAGAGATTTAAAGAAGAGTAGAATGTGAGTTTCAAGATTGTTTCGCGTGACCATTTCCTCTGATTTCTTAACAAATCGAACTTAACAAATTAATTTTTGAAATATAAGCGCATGGAGGAAAGAACTCCCCCAAGATCGATGATGCATGATCTTTGATTGCTCTCCTATTCTTGAAACGTTAGAAATAAAAACACCGTAAATCATAAACAATTACACTTGCTGAGATTTGTTCCATGTATTCTCTTAGTCTCCTTATTTGAAACTTTCAAATCCGAAAAACTCCATCAATATGTGCCCCCCTCAAAAATTCAAAATCCCATAGAAATGTGCAACCTCAAAAATTATGATGGCGCAACTTGCGCCATGAAAGCCCCTAGTGGAAACTTCTGTCCACTCTTAAAAGATAAAAGATAACGAGTTTTTTTCCTCTCCTCTTTCTTGCCTTTTATGCCATGTGGGGGTTTCCGGAGCCAGGGGTGAGGGCAGAGATTAATGGCAGAGTTAAAAGCTCCTCTTGGCACCGGGACGCGAACTCGTTATTATTTTATCATATTATCTGCTAATGTGGGTTGCCAGAGAACGCGTGGTGTGCACACGCGTTAGCCCGCTCGGCCACCCCGCCCCTTAGAGAGAATGGATTGGATAAAATTGATTTACGATTATTTTATCATTAATCCCCAGGCTCACTTATTGTCCTTCCTATCAAATTCGATGGCTTATCGGCACACAATGCTCCCTACCAAGAAATTTTATTGCTTTCCTCTTTCTAAAATATTTTATTTTTAAGATCAGGAAAGCAAAAATAGAAGTAGAAAAAATATAGATAATACATAATTAACTTTATCCGGTCTGTTTTCTGGCATATTTTTTCATCATTTTGTCGGGTGTTGTTTTGTTCATCATGATTCTCCAGAAACCACACAAAAATACGGTTTCTTCAAAAACATCGTAACTCCATAAGGACGTGTTCTCTTTTGGCTATACTATACCATTCCTTTAAGGACACCCATTATAATCTTTTGCAATCTCCCAACTCTGTGTTAAATGTTCTTTGTAGTCTAAAGCATAAAAAATTAGTGAAATCTTTCCATTTTTAGTCCTTTTTTTTTTTTAATTTACCTCAAAAATACGAATATTCACCAATGGGGTTAATAGTGACGAAGCAAAAATAAAAAACTTTCAAAATGTTATTTTATTTTTTTGAGGTTCACGTTTTTAC